ATCCATCCATCCATCCATCCATCCATCCATCCATCCATCATCCATGCATCCATCCTTCCATCCATCCATCCATCATCCATCCATCCATCCATCCATCATCCATCCATCATTCATCCATCATCATCCATCATCCATCCATCCATCCATCCATCATCCATCCATCATCCATTCGTCCATCATCCATCATCCATTCATCATTCATCCATCATCCATCCATCCATCATCCATCCATCATCCATCCATCCATCATCCATCATCCATTCATCCATCATCCATCATCCATCATCCATTCATCATTCATCCATCCATCCATCATCCATCCATCCATCATCCATCATCCATTCATCATTCATCCATCATCCATCCATCCATCATCCATCCATCCATCATCCATCATCCATTCATCATTCATCCATCATCCATCCATCCATCATCCATCCATCCATGCATTCAATCATCCATGAAACCCATGTTACATTTTTTTATTAAATAGGAAAAAATCTTTATTTTTCAGTCAGACTAAACCATTCAGGCACCAAACCATATTAGTTTTCAAGTATTTATTTGTTTCACATCTTTTCGATTTTGCAGAAAAACCTAAAAACATGGAAATAATTTATGATGAAGTGAAGACAGAGGAGAAGCCACGCRACACCTGTCCCATCGTATCAGGTCAATAAATAAACATGATGAATATTAAATGTAACATTAAACTGATTTCATTTCATTCTATTTTTGTTCCTGCAGAAAAGGAAAAGAAAACTCACCGTTACATCTCACTTCCTGTGGTTCTGGTTTGTTTGGGAGTTATTTGTTTGGTTCTGTTGTCAGCCGTCGTCGCTCTCAGCATCACCTGTGAGTCTGTTGGTCTGTTTCAGGGTTTTACTTTTAAAGTAGTTTGATATAAAATATGAAGACTTTGTGTCTSACTGCAGTCACGTACGAGCAGAGAAGACAAAACATCAACTTCACCATGCAGAAGTTGAAGCTGCAGGCAGAGAAGGAGATGTTAAAGAGACAAACAGAGGACCTGAGCAGAGAACGAGACCGGCTCAACTGGACCATCAGAGTCATCCTCCAGTACGACAACTTTCCAGTGAAGGATCACTGCCCACAGAAAGGCAAACAGGCTTACTCTGCCATGTTTTGTGTCACTTAAAGATCTGTTTTACAGTATCTCTTTATAAACTGCTGGTGTTTGTCTCATCAGCATGTAAACCATGTCTGGATGGCTGGGTTCTGTTCCAGTCCAACTGTTACCTTTTTACAAATGATGGCTACTACTCCTACTGGAAAAACTGGGAAAGGAGCCGAGAAAATTGTCATGAAATGCAGGCCGACCTGGTGGTGATAGACAGCCTGGAGGAACAGGCAAGAATGATTTATTTTTATTTTACTGCCACAGGGGAGGAAGAACAATTCAGTCAAAAATCTGAARCAAAAAGTCAACATGTTTTTAACTGTTTGTGTTTTAAAGGTATTTATCTGAGCATTGCTTAAGTTTTAAATCACACATCATATCCTGTCATGTTTTTATTTTGTATTTGTTTATTTATCTGTTTATTTATCTGAACTGCAGGAATTCATAAACAACCACACAACAACGTACAGTGACCAGGCTCACGGGTACTGGATCGGGCTGAGCAGCAGAAGCATGACGGAAACGTGGACATGGGTGGATGGAAGTAATGTCACTGTGACGTAAGCAAAACTCCACAGTTACACCATATTTATGACTTCTTGACCTCTGAGGACTGAAATGTTGGTAATCAGGACGATCTGTTTCTAGAAACCAGTGGTGAAAGTGGTGAAATCACTTTTTGTCACATTTTTCTGGTTTTTGTCACAATCAGAACTTTCACCGACAGTAATTGTTTTAAATGTGCTTTATAAATAGATTTCATTTAAAAAGCAGCAAAGAAGTAATGAAGCATCTCTACCAACAAGTTGACAAATAAACATGAGAAACATCTAGTAGTATTTATTATAAAGATTTATTTTCTTCAAAACTGTTCAGTCATGGGGCTGATTTTGTCCAAAATATTTCTCACCATCAGTTTTGTTCTTGAGCTGTACTTAAACAGTGAACTGTTCAGGTACAGCTGCTAGTTTTTAGGAATAAGGTTTTTGAGCAGAGCTGTATCTACAGATGAGATCCTGAAGATGAGGGGAGGAGTTGTTGAAGTGATGATCAGTGAGCAGCAGGACGGTTCCACCACAGGTGTTTGCTCTGAGAGAAGGTCRGGGAGGTCAGAAGGAGCTGCTCTGAGTCTCTGCTCAGACGCATCACAGCACATTTCTTTTGTACATCACAAAGTGAAACTGAGCACATGAGACACTTCTCTCCTGACAAGCCTCTATTTTGCACAGGTTAGATGCAAATTATGCCCTGCGTGTGCGATGGACATATTTGCGTGATCATAAATGATTTACAGATTCAGGAAAATAATGAACAACAAATAATGAGAGAGAAAATTCTAAAGAAGAAGTGGGAGGTAAAAAATGTGTTTATCTCGTGCAAAACATGTGTGTGTGTGTGTGTGTGTGTGTGTGTGTGTGTGTGTGTGTGTGTGTGT